AGTTAGCGTCATAGAGTGACATCTGTTTAAGCTAACAAGCCTACTTTTAAAATGACTAAACAAACAGAAAACTGAAGATACTAGGTCAAGCAAGTGCGCTTGTTCAACCGTAACTTTGATTCTTTTTCTATTTAAAGAAGGTTATTACAACATCTTTTATATGTGGTCGAAAAGCAATCATGAATACTTGTAGGCTCCAAAAAAGAAGCTGAAAATATTTCAATAGCGAGTACCTCAGTAGAGTGAGTCCTTTTGATCAGCTACTATGGTGATCACATTAGAGAGCTTTTACGATAGATTTTAAAAAAATGTTCTTTGCTCTTTATGCTACTGTACAGCGATGTCATGAGTTTTCAACTTTTTTTTCTGATCAATTGTCTTTCGAGTATATTCTCACTCTATATTGCGCTTAGATATATATATACTTCTGTTCTCATTGACGAATTTATATTGTTCTTGATTCGGAAAAATTTTTATCGTTATTCGTTCCTTACGAAGTAGAGATATGCATCAACCAAACTCAACAAACCTCTTTTCCTTTTTCATTTTCGGGGAAATAAAACTACCTGTACTCTTTATTTCTTTATATTCTGTTTGTAACTAAAATTAAACACATGAAATTCTATGAAAATAACGAAATTCATGGCGAGTTTTATTATTCATATACCATTGACGAAGGCAACGAAAGTGACTTAGGTTTTGATTATAATGAATTAACAGATAATTTAGATGAAATTGAAGTTTCAGATATTTAGAAGATGAGAGAAATTGTTTTTTTCTAACTATCATAAGACTTTCATGTTGTCATTTTAAAGTAAATAAAATAAAATGATTGAAGAACCACGTTTCAATTAAAAAGTTTCGTTCTCAAAGAATTAACAGATGAAATCGAATACTATATAAATAGAAAGGTGAAGAAGAAAGATTCTGTTCATCTTTCCAAGGTAGGAAAGAGTTTGTTATGGAAATTTTGTTCTAGTTGCGAAATAGTCCAATTCAAATGCCAGAGAAAGAGCGAGATAGAGGCATTAGAGAGAAAGAAAAGAGACATAAATTTAGACACAAGAATATTGCCTTGGAAATATCTTCTCGTTCTCCTGGCATCAACAGTCAACTGTCATAAATATAAATATAAGATAAAATGAAGTAAAGTATTTATATTGCTTTAAATGGATTAGAAAAATTTCATGAGAGTGGATCACAATGGAAAAATAAATAAGAGAAAGATTGGATATAATAAGTTAGAGTGAACTGCATGTCTCACACATGTTTTCATTCTAATCAGATATGATGGATGAGAATGAAACATGGAACGATGCATTTCTTCATTTTAAACATATATTTTGTTAACTGTTGGAGAAACGAACATACGCTTTTTATCGTTCTTTCTTTGGTAAATTCGTGTCTTTGTATATAATTATACATAATGCATATGGTAAGACATTTATTATTCACTCTTCGAATAAAAGATCGTAGAAAGGCTATTATACACCAGTCACAAAAATGAAGCACCAAGAAAAGAAAATGAATCAACAAAAACGTCTTGCCATATACACTTATATATAATAGTATATGATTTAGATCAATGGTAATGGACAGACATTATTTCAAATCGTCGATTATCAAGGTCGACTTGATTTAGTCTGCATACAACGGAGTCTCTATTCGTAATATCATTCGAAAAGATTAAGATAAATGTTGACATTGAATCTGAGTTAAGACTGTATCTTGATAGCTTAGTTAGTTAAAGCATCTGGCACGTTACCAGTGTGGATACTGTCTCAATTCGAGCCCCAGTAGAGACTTACTTTTTTTTTTTCTTTGCGTTTCATTTTTGTCGAGTAATGAATCATAGCCGTTTAACAGCTTTCATTAGGATAGTGAATAAAAATGTCCTGGTATATACATTTCTATAGAATAATATATGTTTTATAATTCTCTCTATTTTATGGTTAACACCGCAAATTTCCCTAATTAAAAGTAAGCAACCAAATTTTAAAAAAGAACAAACTATAGACGAATCCGATTTATGAACCTTAACACGTTGTCTATTTAAAATACCATTCTCCTTGATAAAAATGTGGCCGAAAAATACATGATATTTAGACTTCTCTAGAACTTACACGTCTATGAAAAAAGGTTAGTGTAAAAAGTTTTTAAAAGATATTCCGAATAGTAATGTGCCCACTGGAAGCGTGTAAGAAAATTTTAACTGTAGTCACACCTAAATAAGTTAGTTTCTCGTGTTGACACTAACAACTTTCTCTATACGCGTTTAAAGATCTGAAAAGACTTTTTCAAGCCTTTATATGCGCTTTTGTAAAATTTTGTCTGTTTGGGTTGCAAGAAACTCCTATAAATGTTGATATTTTCGCTGAATTGACCATGAATTCGTATTTTAACTCTTGCCCTATTCTGCACCAGCTTCAATAATCGAACGATTTTGCTTTTGAGACTGCAACGTATTCAAATATGCCCGAGTAAATTCCGATTAATTGATTAGTAAAGTAAGGAAGAAATGTTTAGCACATTTTGTAGTTTATGAATTGCTGATCATGAACTACCTATTCAAGATATTCAAATAGTGATTTTGATAGTTCTCAGAGCGATCTATGAAACCGATATAGAAATATTTCTTAGAGCAGAGCTTTTTTGACTTTTATTATTCAAAAGCTTTTCTTCTAGTGGAAAGAGTTTAGCACATTTTTAATATTTAGCTAAGTTTTTGTTTTTCATCATCTGGCAGAACTTATGTTATATACTATTTAGTGCACTATTAAAAGGCTACATTCTAGTGAAAAAGTACTGGATCTCATAGTGACATATTATTTAATATAATTGCTTAATCATTGACAAATGAATTTATACTATTTCCTTTTATTTCAACTTCCAAGAATTCCATATATGAAAGAGTATCAAACACTGAATACAATTGTATAACTACTATTTCTAAATGGATCGTATCTATGAGATTTTCAGTGTATTTTCAGTTTCCATTAATCATGTTGTTCAATATTTGTAATAAATTCAACTCTGAACTGACACTTTAAATCTGTCAAAATCAATGTATTTTGAAAAGCAAAGTTTGCTCTTTCACAGGGCATATCACTGTTTTCTGTTCATGAATAGAGAGTAGCGAGATATCGTTGGGAATAGCAAGCTCTGCTTTTGAAAACACACTAATTTTGACAGATTTAATGTTTCGGCTCATAGTTGAATTTATTACAAATAATGAATATCATTGCTAACTGAAATAGAAAACACACCTGAAATCTTTGAAAGATGACTCATTCTGGAATAGTAATTGTAAACTTTCCATAAATAAGCGTTTTTTTTATGAAATATGACTAACAGCATTAAAATTTGAGACTATTAGACCTATTGTGAAAAAGTTTTAGTTTTGAAAGCTACACCATGAATGCACGAATGACCAAACTCCAAAATTTTGAGAAATTAATAGTCGATTCAACTTCCTTGAAACGAAAGTCTTTTGGTCGAATTTCATTTGGAAACAGCATCTTCGTAAATAGCTCTTCTCTGAAGAAAAGACTTGCAATCAAATAGTAAACAGCGATAATTTGAAGCTTATTTTTCTAGCTGGTATGCGTCCCTTAACCATTTTATTAACAAATTGAATGGCGCACGCCGCTCTTTTTTACCAGTGCTATTGATTAAGTAAAGTTACGCATTAGAGTTTAAGTTATTTAAGTCGTGGTAAAGATATGATCCACTATAGTTCAAGAGACATATGCTAAAGTTATCTTTCTAAAATGAGTTCAGCATTATGAAAGAGAGTGCGAGATTGAACTGTTCCAAAAAAATTGTAACCACTTTTTATCTGAAGTGATTCTTTTAATTATCTAGAACCTTTGACGGATTAGTAATGAAGAAACGGGTCCAGAAAAAAACCAGTGTCTTCACTATAACCTAGAATCGTTGTTTATGAACTATTTTCTTTAAGTCTATGGAGAACTTTCACATTCTGAACACCAAATCGAAAAGTATCCCATTCCTTTGAAGATAAAATTGTAAAAAAAAATCACGATTCTCATGAAAGAACTAGTTGTTAAGAAGAATCCACTGCACGAATATAACGTAGTATAATGTTCAAATTATTTTTCAAAGATTTATCATCATCAGTTTTATGCCTACAACGAAAGTTTTCAGGCTTATGCTACTTTCCAGCTGTGAGAAACGGACACTGTTTTTTACTCAGAATAGTCAGTTTTGTCTGATTTATGAGGTTTTGTAAAATATACGACGTGCAACAGTTGGAGTTGAACATTTTTTTTCTTTGTAAAATATATTATTATATAAATGTATAAAAAAATCCAGCTAGATCGACTGAGCCTTTCTTGAGATACAGGCTTTGTAAAAAAAACAGCATTTGTAGAGCTGTGATTCACAGAGCTTTTATTACACAAATTAATAAAAATCGAAGATTCAATATTGTTGAAAATCGTTAGCGCCCAAATAGATAAACTATTTACCTTTATATTCTATCGTAAATTGAGCGAATCCAACGTTCCAAATTGACCAGAGCCAGTCATCACTCACATAGACTGGTTCATAACATGAAAAATATATGTATCGTTGTAATATTTTCTTCATGTTTGACAGAACAAAAAGAGATAAACAGTCATCTTTCAGTAGTGACAAAAAATTACACGAGAGATCATAAACCGTAGGGATTGAATTCGTTATAACTTCATAAATTTACACTCATGTGTATGTTATCGATCTTTTCATGAAAAATAAGCCGCTGATGAATTTCTCTGGACATCCCCATTATGCTGTAGCTCCGAAAATTTTCAATCTTTTAACATTAACTTTTGATCACAATTGTTATAGCTGAAAATCTCTCATTTTAGACATATTGAGAAGACTGTTATTGCATCTCTCTTGATTTCTTTGCTGTCTTTATCATAGTAACATTTAAGGTAGGTATGGTTTTTGGTACGAATCCAGGAAAATTCAAACATCGGGTAATTTCATCACGCATGTTGATTATCATAAGCATTGGATTATTCATTTTGGCAATTATTTTTCTACAAGGTGAATGGTTAGAAGCATTACAACCATTTAAAAATTATATCTCAATGAATTTTGAAAATAATTCTAGAACGACTTGTTTTGAAAATTCGAAAAATGTTGATAAAATTTGTCAATGGCACTTTTTAAATTATACACCAAGTTCGTGGGAAAATATTTGGTTCACGAATATTGAAGAATTTCAAAATAATGTTTGTGAAAGATTAGCAGATGCACAAAATCTAAATAAAACAGCATTAGCCGTTGAACGATTGATGGAATTACAAAAAAATGGAAGAAACTTTACTCGAAGCGATAAACAGCCAACTGATGAGCTTCTATCGAAAATGTTTTATCGACGAGAATGTATCAATCCACTAACAAACACATCGTTCCAAGAAGCCGAAGTATCACAAGTAATTGAGCCACTCATTGGTTTACTAAGAGATCCTTTAACGATATGTACTCGTATTAATTCATTACCTGCCTCAGTTTATCAAGGATCACAAGTTCAGTCAAAACGATTTTTATTATTATCAGTGGCAGCTCCGTTTTATATTCATTCATCACCACAAAATCGTAATAGTTTAGAAATAAATGTTCAGTCAAATAAACACAATACGAATTTACTTCCTTGGATGTATCAAAGGTCGAAGTTGAATTTGTTAGACAAGGAATTAGATCTAGATGGAATAAATGGACAGAATATTTTGATTGATTTGGGAAGTTCTTATTTCGGGAATTGGGGTGGTGATTCTAATGCCGCTGCAGGAAGGTGGTTCTATGAGCAGTACAAACGTTTTGGTGTTAAATTTGATCGTATTGTCGCTTATGAATATGCTCCATTAGATGCCAAAGCTGCTTGGAATCAATTACCTGACGATGTCTTCCCTGTTTATACTCTAATAAATGTTGGTTGTGCAGCAACTGGGAAATTCAACCCTTGGGTAATGCTAAAAGCAATAGCTAGACCACATGACCATGTTGTTATCAAACTAGATATTGATACTCCAGCAATTGAGATTCCTCTGATAAATCAACTCTTAAATGATTCATCCATTCATTCTTTAGTAGATGAACTATTTTTTGAGCATCATATTAATGTGAAAGCAATGCAAGCATATTGGGGACGTCCACCGGGAACATTAAAAGACTCATATGTTTTGTTTACGAAATTGCGACAACTTGGAATACGCATGCACTCATGGCCATGAGATTGGGTTCTTTTAACCGTAGGAATCAGATGTACAAATGAAACTCAACTCAAATATTTGTGTTTCTGAATCTGCTAGAATAAGTTTTACATCATATGAAGCTTTTTTTATTTCATATTTTATAATACAAGACGATTATCATACATATGCAGTTAATAAAACATGCTCCAGTCTCAGGGATCAACTTTTTCTTAACTCAAAGAATGTAATCTAGAAATAAATCTTTATTTCTTTGAAAGATAATAATAGAAACGTTAATCTTCTTCATATAGCATTGTTTTACGTTCAAGCAATCATAATTTATCAATGACAAAAAGAATTAATATATTACAATATCTGTATCTGTCTTTCGACCTGAAATAGCAAGCAAGAGTTCATCTAGTTAACGAAGAATAGTCATTTTCAGGATTTCTGACGAACCATCTATCAAAAGAATCGAAAAATTTCACGCAGAATAGATCTCGGTGACTATGGAGCAAAAGTTTTAAGAAACTGAAAATTTTCCAATACTTCCCTCCAGGACACACTAGAATTGCAAGAACGACAAAGTTACTCCCTTATTGACTCTCTTTCTTACCTGTAATATATACGTCATAGAGTTGAGAAGTATGTTACAAAAATTATACTCTAATTGAAATGCTTGTTTTCTTTTTGGTTTCTGTTATATCCTTCTGCTCAAGTAAAAATACCAAGATTCTTATATTACCCTCGAAGATCTATTTTTTTTCGACTAGGATTCTTTCCGTACAATCTGACAAAACGTCAAGTATTTTTTTCATCGAAAGTTCAACAAATAAGTTACATCAATTTAATATAAGTACAATAAAAACTCTCGAATGTAAACGCCCAATAGAAGATTTTACAGATGTTTACTATAACGAAATGTTTAGTATTCGGAGGTTTGTATTTATTTTGACAGAAAAATATTCTATTGTCTGCATGGAAATCAACAAGGACGAATATATGTCACTTATGTTTTTGTTCTTACAATCGTGTGTTGCGCTTTGTATCACAAAAAATCTTCAATAGTGCTTTGTTTTGACATTGTGTTCTCGGCATAGGTATATGTTTCCTTCTGATATGTGCACTACAGCATGAATGTACAGAAGTAGAACAACGAACACCATCCACCTAATTGATGTCGTACTAGTTGATGTGTGTGAAAAAGAGAGAGTTCACAATGTACTATAAGAGGTTCATTAATCAGAAATTCGTTTTAAGTAAAAATCACTCTAGGAGAACTCTTAGTGTTTAACCATGACAATGTATTCACATTACAAAGGGATTTACAATGGAAGGTTTTATTGTAGATTAAATGTCCATCAATTGAACAGTGATGATTTGTAGAAGAGTAAGAAGCCGCGAGATATTAATACTTACAAAAAAAAGCCTCGCTGCATTCTAAATTATGTTGAATAGATCTGGAAGTCAAGAATATCTCCTATTGTATTAGGTGAAGCGAGGCATGACGTTTAGTAACTACTAAATCTGTAGCATAAAAAAATCGTTCAACAAGCTGAAATGTTTGTAATTGAAAAAGACACGAACAAATGGTGATAAAAATGGAGGTTTGTGTTGATGTCTTCTCCATAGTTATAATGGATGTGATTATTTTTTAATATCTGCAATATTCATTCTTCGAATATTTATATAATGCATCACTTTTACATGTTATCTTTGAAATTATACTCCGCTGCATTTCCTTGCTGGCAATATATTCATTTTATGAGATAAAACTCTGATATTAAAGAAACAATCCACTGACAAGTAAACAGTCCTGATGGTCTCTTTGGAGGTTCGATGCAAAGCACATTGCGTGATATCGGAAGAATAACTGAAAAAATGAAAAGTATTCAAAAATCAAAGCTCTGATATTCAAGTTTCGGGCATAAGAACGTTTCAGTTTTATATATATAGCAAAGAGAAGTTTAATCCGTAACAATAACACCAATTAGAAACACCAGAAACGTATTTGCTCTACAATTTTTGTATTTTTAAACTAATTTTATGACGTGAACATGCACTCGACTTTTGGATTGTAATGGTTTCTAGCATATTCTATCGAACTTTGGATTCTCATGCCGATTTTCGTTCATGTTGCATGATGAAATCATTTTTTTCAGATCGAGCATCTTCGAGGTAAAGACAAACAAACGAGGGTAAACAATTGGTTCAATTTCGAACGCAAGGACGATATAGATAGAGAAAAGTATATTGTTCAAAAATAAAGAAAAATGAGAAATATAGGAAATATTTTCAGAAAAAATTTATATTTACTATCTTTCATGGTCAATAAAACTAATTTAATGTATGCTTGCATTTTAATAGGGCGAATTAGTATGTACTTGCTGCTCTTTATGCAACTCACATACGCACTGTGGCTGCCAGAGAAGAAACTGAATTTTCGACGTCATTAAATGAATTATATATCTGACTAAACAATGACTCTACAGTAATCATTATTTTAAATGATTTTCCAATTCGTTCAAAAATAATGTTTTCAGAAAATCGAATTTTAACTCTAATTCACTAAAAACCGAACATTTTATGAAAATAAAAAGTGACTGTCCAAATCAGCATCGTCGCTCAACAAAGTATGGATGCATTTAAAGATCTGCTGTATGGTGTTTCATACATCGAGAATAACTATATGTATTGCTACCAGCTTACACATATCACACGGTAGTATTGATGCCATCTTGAAGCAATATGTTGGTGTGAAGTAAATATTATGGAAGTAAGTATGTAATGAGGTCACTCAAGAACAATGACAACCACCTGGTAAGGCTTATGTTGAGAATTTACAAATATTTGAGAGTGAGCCTTGGAAACTATACGAGATAGTCACGAAAGGTGAAACGGATATAGCCTTGACAAACCAAATCTAAAGAATAATCTAAAACATGTCTGTCGAAAGAAGAAAGTTCTCTAAAGTAGTGGGGATGCAACAATATCCATTCTCATTCCAGCAAATTCCAGTCAAATTTGACCAATACCAAAAATTAGAATTATTCAGAATAATAGAATTGTTGCATTCCTAAACGGCAAATTAAAAGAAATCCATCCGATAGGAAAACAGTGTTTTCTATCCTATTTTATAACCGATATACTGTTATTTGTTCATCGGCTGCTTTTTGAAATATTAATTAATTCCAAGCATTATCATGATGAATGTTTTTAAAAAAAATAGCCAAAAACTTACGCAAAGCCATCATAAATAACAAATGGCATAATATCATATCATGACAAAACAACGATCGTATGTGAAAGATACTGCACTTGATTTTCTCCAACAAGAAAAATCTTAATAATGATTCATCCATCATACTCGGTTGACTTTCCTCCTTCAGACTTTTGACTATTCAGTCGTCTGAAAGATAAACTTGATATATAGCCCAATTGTGCAACTTTAGCTAAAGCAATAACAAAAGATCTCAATTCGGTACTTGTCCTCGTATATCAAAATATATTCCAAAAGTGGATTGAAACGATAAAACTTTGCACCAAACGTTAGGGAGGCCTACTTCGAATATGTGGCTTAAATAGATTAAAGCATGTTTTTTTACTGTGAAGAAATATTTGAAATGCAAGAACTTCTTTGAATATCCTACGTAGCTTTGTCTTTGAATTTCATCCTTTAACTCCAAGTTCAAGGAGTTTTCATTGCACAAAACCTTGAATTTGAGTTAGTTCAGAAGCATAGACCTCTTATCATGAGCTTCTCTTTTCCTCGTCAAACATCTCTCTATTTTTTCAAGATAAGAAGCATAATTTTCTTCAGCATGACAGAATTTTCAAATTTTTTCTGAATGAATTTATTTCAATGGATTTGCTCAAAATAATAATTAGTTTCATTCATAAAGACTTACTTCTCCATCATTATATCGGAAATACTAATACGGTTTTACTGTTATTATTTATTACGATGTTTACATTAAATTGGATGCGAAGTCATCATTCGATCAGTATAAATGAGAATAGAAATAAAAGTGTAAAATAATATGAAAAAGACCTAAATAACTAAGTGAATTGGTTGAAGCTTGAAGACAAAATCTGCATTAAAAAAGGAACTGAGATAGCAATTAACGAGAAATTAACGCAAACGTCAAATATACAGTATAAAAAAGAAAACAAACATATAAAGAGTATCCCAGAAAATCCGAAACGATTTTAAAATTCATCGCTCTTACATTCAAGCAAAACAAACTCTTTGCAAAGCTGGCAGATTATTGTAATACTTAGTACTAAATAAATACAAAGTTTTCGGTATATAGCTTTTACTATGAATGAGAAAATGTAACAGCATTTTTCATATACTTTTTTTCCTAAGCAACCTCCAAGTTCTATCGATGAACGGTAGGAGTTCATCTGTTCATAAGATGGTGATCATCATCAAAATACATATTTTTACTGATAATGGATATGTGAAATTCATTTGAGCTCTTGTAAAAAAAAAAAAAGCAGCTAAAAATCAGACGATTTACGAAATGTAATTACTTATGGTCATCAAATTCATAAGCAAACGATGCATGTGGTTTTAAATATTGTTGAGCATGTTTTTATCGATTAAACAAAACAAAAAGAAAATTATGACATAAAACTAGCCAACACTTGATCTATCGAAGACATTTATAGTATATTAAAAGAAAAATTACGAGGGCAAGATTGCAAGAATACTGATCACCTGAAAAACTAGAATAGAGATACATGAAAANATCGATTTTTTTGATCGAACATCAATATGTATTTGAACAGCTTCATCTGGTGACACATGCTGAGCTTCCATCATCCATCGTGGTTCGTAAGCACCGATCGGTATAGCACTTAAATCGAATGGACCATATTTTTTACCAATGTGTCGAAAAATTGAAATGTTATGAGTATAACCTGTATCTCCAGCGAAATAAAATTTGTGTGTAGCATCCCAAACAGCAAAACTACCCCACAAAGATTTGTTCAAATCGAATGCACTACGACGACTCCTGGAGTAGAAAATATTTTATTACTATAAAAAAAAACAATGAACATTACCAGTGTTGAGCTGGACAAAAAGCAATGTTCACTTCTTTCTTCTAAAACAAAAATCAAAGATAAATATTGCAAAAAGTTTCCAGCAGGAATCGTCTCTTACCAAAAGATGATACTCTTCCCACCAATCGAGTTCGACAACATTGTGTACATGCCTATTGAGAAACCATTGTCGAGTACCTCGGCCACAGAACCACGTTAGTTGTTCACCATAGCGTCTGTTTAAACTTTTTACACTAGAATAATCGAGATGATCAAAATGATTATGTGAAATAAGTATAGCATCAAGATCATCGGGTAGATCATTTATCCTTAATGCCGGTGGACGGAAACGTTTCGGACCGGTAGACGGTGTTATTCCACATCGTTCACTATAATCATTTAATTGCTTTGAAAGAAAATGAGAAAGAAAGAGAGAAAATATCTACCTGAAAACTGGATCGACAAGAAATCGAAAATTATTCATTTGAACAAAACATGAAGCATGTCCAATCCAAATAAATCGTAGACCGGGTTTTTTTAGATACAGTTCTTCAGGTTTTTCATATCGAATAACAGGTAAAATGTTATCAAGCTCTTGTTTAGTGGAGGGCAATTGTGTATTGTCCAGCGCAGTGATTTTCCACTTTAAAGCAAGCGCTGGACTGGGAAATTTAAACTTAGGATTGAATGAATTAATGTAACGACCATTTTCTTTGCGAGACTTGACTAATTCATTGGAAGCCTTATCCGTTCTTGTTGTTACTACAACGATAATCACTGTTTGTAAAAATCTCGCTTGCCCTTGGGGGTAGACTGGTAGTGATACGAACACATATAACAGAATTCTTAAATTCTACTGTCCCTCATGTTTAGAATAAGGAACAAAAACGACGAAAAAACCAAACAGAGCACAAGATAGATTATATATGTGGCCAAGCTCACGAATTCCATTTTTTGACCAATTCTTTCCAACTTCTTTAGGACTCTTGTGAAGTAGAGCTTAAGAGTGTTCAGAGGAAATCCATGTTGCGAAAACCGGATCAGTTTTAGCGGTAAAGCGCGGTATTTCTCAAAACCGCCGGTTTACCGGATTTTACCGGCAAAACCGGCGGCTTGCCGCGGTTAACCGACGGTTTTAATTGATACCGCGGTTCTTTAGAAATTCCACCGGTCAGCCGCGGTTTGGCGCTAGTTTTTCCGATGAAGAGAAGACGACGAGTGTGTATAGAACGAAAAAAAAACATGTATATATACATGTGCTCGCCGATCTATCGCTCACTTTGCTGGTTTGCATGATTAGATAAAATAATCAAGAAAAGAATAAAAGACGCAGCATAGATTTAATTATTCTTACACATAATTTTTTCATAATTACTTCGTTTTTAAAAGATTAAGTTTTTAGTATTTATTTCTTTTTTTATTAATATTTTAATATCGACTTCTCTTTTAGATTAATTCTTTTTATTTAATTTTCAGATTATATTTTTAAATTCAATTTATAACTTTTTTTTAAACATTTTTAGATTAAGTTTTGTATGTTATTTTTTCAGATTAATTTTTTTATATTAAATTTTCACATTATTTTTAATATTTATTTTTTAGATTGATTTTTTAATATTTTATTTTTAAATTCATGTTTTCACATTTTATTGCTAATTTAATTTTTTTACATTTAATTTTTTTAGATAATTTTAAAATGTTAAATAATTTTTTTTGCAGTAATTATTTTTGCGTTTATTTTTTAATACAAATTTTTCGTTTTTTGCTATGCACAATTTGACTTGTTGGCTTGTATTTTTCTTTTGAAATAAACTAGTCTAATTCAATGATAGCTGTTAAATTTAAAACAAATATTGACGCAACCCAGCCTCGAACAGTGCCGGTAAACTGCGGTTTCCGGAAAACCGCGGTTAACCGCCGGTTTTTGTTCGGCTTTCATCACATGGGAATGTACATTCAGTGTAATATTTCTTCTTTGAATAATATAGAGTATGACGCAGTCTTCCACGTCCTATCCGAATATAAGATTGAAATTTCGATACGAGTAGCTTGCAATCGAGAAACGGTTAAACTGCGACATGAAAAAATTCGACAAAAGTTTTTTAGCAAAAAAATCACAATGAGTGTCTCTTAACTCCTGCCGGTCTGTTTTTCAAAACTCACATATGAAATATGAGTTTGAGTTTTAGAGAGACAAAGTTTGTTCCCCTCACAGACATCTATTGTTTCAACATCGTCGCCTTTCCATGCATACCTATGCGAGTGTGGGTGTGAGAAAACGTAACATGTAGAGTTGCCAGCGAGAAAAAAATCGCTAATTTTTACCTGTTTATCATCAAATAGAACGTTGGACAAAATTTCCTCATGGAGCACTCACCGTTCTTTGGTGTTTTGATTGATGTCTTCTGCTTAGTTTTTTGCTTATGCGAGAAACCATCGATCACTATCGCCACAATAAAGAGAAGAATAAATATAGAAAGCGATAGCTTCATCCTTCAAGTATGTATGTATTTGTCAATTGAATTGAGATATAGAAAAGTTCTTCTTTCTTCTCTTCACTTACATTCGAACTAATTGGAAATATGATGCACAACACCGCTTCTATGTAGGCACAACAAGTAACATGATTCTTCGTCTTTCTTTGAATGATGGCGATAAGAGCTGCTTTAATCGAAAATAAGGTATTCGCTACGATTAGACAGCTTGTTGTCAGCATCTGAATCTTTGTGAACCCAAGAAAGTGTGAAGCTTTGCCAGTCTAATAAATTTCACAATTGAATATTATCGACCTGCTTTTTTTCTCCAGTATATTTGAGTTTCTTTAGAATAAACTAATATGCGTGTTGAAATTTTGCAGCAAAATTCTCATGAAACGAAAAATATTTCTCACTTCGATAATGTTTGTGCTTTTAGAGAAATCTATATATCTTGAGATTAAATCAAATAACAATTGACAATGGAAAATTTTTGGTCTTTCACAAAGACCATTTCCAACATAAAACAGAACGAAATAAAGTGTGTTGAATAGGTGTTGAAACGAACAATTTTTTTTTCAAATCGTAAATGATGCAACATGATCTACGTATAATATCATAGCCTATATTATTCATATAAATCCTGAATCATTATAACATAGTTATAAATCATACAAAAATAAACCAAAAAATTATTCTAATTCCATTTTTGATCAAAATGTAATATACTCAAGTATTATATTCTACTTTATATAAGAAGAGAAAGGGTCAGCTACAAAAATTTATTGATAAGTTCCCTCTTGATTTTTATATTTATGTTATCGGTCGAAATGAAAAGATATTTCATCATTTAAACACCTCAACTATACAAAAAAGTCAGCATCGGTATTGTGCTTATCTTGTATTCGACAAAATTAATCCGAGTTTCTAACCGTTCTAACAAACTTTAATATTATCCAAAGATTTAATGGAAGTTTATAAATGGCCGGCTGACTTTTGCTACAATAAAACCAATGCCTAATCACATATATCAATAGTCAATCAACAAAAAATACCAACGTCTCTAATTGACTACAATATGAGTCAGTGTAACAATTCAAGATCATTTGTGTTATAATAATAATAATCATTTAATGTCTATTTGTTTTCAGTAAATCTCGATAACCAATCGAAAACGACACTAAATGTTTCAGGTGTATGCAATTTACTTGCTCAAAACATACAACATTTAATGAGTTGGATTGAGCATTACGTTGATAATTTAAATTCTCCCTCAAATATTCAGGTGAGAAGTACAGTGAACAATTTTAAATAATTATTCTCTTTTTGTTAGAATATCAATTTCAAGGGAGTGATCTGATGTCTCTAGAAACTGCTTCTAAATCTCATCAAACTCAACTTAACCCTTTGAGAACCGGTGGGTAATATTTGTCCCACTTATTTTTCAGTAGAGAAAAAAGTATTTAGCTCACATTAAACTATTAAATATGTAAGGTCTTCAAGGTCATAAACAACTGCATTTGTCATCTCATACTTTTCTTTTCTTTCTTTCCTTCTCTCGTATAAATTCTTTTCAAATATCCTTTGTTCCTGCTGCTAAGATACAGTGACATCATAATTTCTCTCTTCTCCTCTGATCTATTGTTTATCGAGAATATTCTCATTCTCTATTGGGTATATATCTACACCCCCGTTCTCATTGACGAATTTACGTTGTTCTTGAATTTGCAAAGCATATTATTTCTCTATCGAACTTGTACTTTTTATTTCTTTATACCGTTTTTACAATTAAAATTAAACAAATGGAATTCTATGGAAATAATGAAGTTGACGACGAGTCCTGTGATTCATATGCCAGTAATGATACCAGCGAGAGTAGTGATGGGCCGTAAGCCGTAAGAAGCGTAATACGTTCATTTTCGTACCGTCGTAAATCGCGACAGAACAGAACAAAAATAGTCGTGATATAGACGAATATAGTCGTAAAAGCTACGGCAGAACGAAAGAATAAGTATATAACAGACGGCGTAATGAACGTCTTACGTTTCTCTTACGTTATCATATACATTGAATATGAGAACAAAACGAAAGAAATGATTTTTGAAATTGTTTTTCTTGAAATAAATTTTCTCGCATGTTTTTTTTTTCTGTAGTATAATGATAAGCGAGAAAATAATTATCAGGAAAGCGAGTATCATTATTCACTTCGTATTTTTAGTATGTTCTAGTTTAATAATCCTGTTGACTTTTTAATTAAATTATGTCAATCTATCAGCTGTGTTTCACTTTCATACATTTATTTTATCAAAAGCTCCAATGGTTCAATTGTAATAAATAATACAAAAAAAACATATAAAAATATGTATAAATATACCAGAAAATAACAACACATTTTTTAACTATTTTTATTTAAGAATAGCAAAATATCAGCATTTTCTGGCGTTAATCTCGAACGTCTGTCCGAAGTCAAGTGACCAGTTGCTGAAAACATTCGTTCTGATGGTGCACTTGTACCAACAATACATAAATATTTGAATGCTAATTTTGATAATGTAGGAAATTTTGTTTGATTAGCATTCCACCATTCGAGAGGGTTTTCATTTCGATGAATTTCTCGTTCATTTTCATATATCAATAATTCACCATCACGACTATTTGTTGGTATAACGATATTATTTGTTATCATAATGTCGAATAGATCAAATTCTTTCTTTTTTTGTTCAGGTTGTTGAACATTTGATTGAGATGCAGTTGAGGTGTTTCCAAATAAAGTATTAAATTGTTCCTGTAAGAATAAGTATCCAAGATTTCTAGCATCAAATGCTTGTAATTGATTTAATACAAATAATGTTTCATTATGACTTTGATACAATGAACGATTAAGGAACGAAAAATCTTTCCAACGTGGATCCAACACTGTACATAATAAAATCTAAAAGAAGTGTGTCATGTAGCATTTTTCTATTGATTTCTGTACGTACCAGTTTATCTTGATAAAGTTCTTCAAATCTTTCTTGAATACTCAAACGTAAATTATCTTTAACTTTCTTCTGAAAAGAAGAATCAGCATCTCGATATTCAAGACTTGTAAGCAAAGTTGTAATAACAGGTAAAACAATTGATATTGTTGGTGATGAATCAGATGCTAATTTACGTGTAGCTGCTTCGAAAGGTTCCAATGTATTCTAAAGTTAAGTAAACAGTTTTACATAGTTGATATTTCAATAATATCTTACCATTAATTGATCTAAACCATCCCATTCTACCACTTTCGAAACTTTAGCATTAATAAAATGTTTTTGGAATAATCTCTCATTTAAACATGCTGTTACACAATTTTTTTCTTCAATAAATCGTTGAAGCATGTAAAACGTGCTATTCCACCTCGTTTTGACATCAAAAATTAAGTTTCGTTCAATAAAACCTAAAAATATTTAATTCCATGACTGTTCAAAACAAAACGAAACTTCAGTTTTTTACCAAATGATTTTTGATATTTGTTTAGCATTTCAATTGCTAAATGAGTTTCTCTGGTGAACGTGACAATATATCGCACTGTTGCCAGCATAGTTTTTACTTCATCAAGTTTTCGAATAACATCATTTACAGACAAATTAATAAGATGATCAGTACAACCGATCCAACCTATAGAGAAATTAAATACCAAAACTTTAAGAATAGAAATAAAAGCATACCTTTTCCAAAATCTTTTCCAACCTTTCTCATAGTATTACATGTATCAGTAACTAAACAAACAATTTTGTCACTAATTGACCAATCGATACATATATTATTTAATCGTTCGACGATCCGTTCAGCTGTATGATTTCCAGAAAATTCTTTAGTTTCCAGCACGAAATTTTTAATTTTGTTGTTTTTTAAATCAACAAAATGAGCCGTAACAGTCATATAAGCTTGATTAGCTTGAGATGTCCAGATATCTGTTGTTAAACAAATACCTAAAATATCAGAAAAAGACAGTCTGTAAATCAGTATGAATACAGAATCACCTACCAGGTGCTAATTGTAATTCATTATAAACATTTTGTTGAATTTCAGAATACATATCTTGAAAAATCTTATTTACGAAATATTTTCGTTTAGGAATAACATATGATGGTTCAGCTTCTTGAAAAATTACTTGTAGTTGAGGACTTTCGACAATTGATAAAGGAAGATAATTATAAATGATAAAATCTGCAATTAATTTGGTTAAATGTACAGATCGTTCACTTGATAATGGTAATCTTGGTGTTGATGCAGTTGTTGGCATTTGTGATTTTGATTTCATCGATTTATTTATATTCTGATATTCAGAATTATGTTGAGTTTGCATGTGATGTAATAAATTCGAAGTAGATGTTGATTTACGAATAATGATGGATGAACACAAGACGCACTCAACATGCAATTCATCATGATTGATTGTATTAAAATACCTCCAGACCAAGCTCCTTTTTGGCTTAAGAATTCGTTTAGGTGTAGTTGATGAAGACGATGGAGAGGTAGATATTGGTGCATTTGTTGATGATGGTGATGCTAATATTGAATTAGTTACTGATAAAGATGATGAATCTGTGCTCATTGATATTATATGAGATTTTATTAAAATGACACATAAGCAATTGATAGATAATATATATAACAAATTCTTTTCTTTTTCTTTTTTTATTTCCGTCTGTTCTGAATATTCCACTTCGACGACATTTTGATGTCGTCGAAGTGGAATATTCAAAACAGACAGAAGCAACAAAGAGAGAGAAAAAGAAATTGTTTTACTGTAAAACAATTTCTTATGCCCCATTTCAATATTGAAAGTGACCTTTTCACTGAGGTTAAAAATTCACATTATTGTTTTGGGTGTCTGATAAATAATTGATGAATTAGTTTACTTAATAATTAGTTTATTAATGAACTATCATATCGGTTTTCTTGATTAAAAATTTGAGAAAACGTACTCTTTAGATGATTAATATGATGAAAATTAAAAACTATTCAGAAGGTTAGAAAAAAATTTTCTTACTTCAAGTCAAGTGAAGTCTCACTTGACTTGACTTACCACGCTCTGAGAGTGCCTCTAATTCTCGTCAATATCTGAATATATAGATTGAAATATTCAAGCAAAAGTTTTTTCATTACACTAAAAGTAGTTATTACGTTATTACGTCTCAGACGTAATAAATCTATACTTCGTTATTGTCGTTTGGTTATCCTTCCTATTCAATGGTTATTACGTGATACCACATCTGAACGTCTTACGAGAAGGAAGGACAAAATAACTCACGACAGAACGAAAGAAACACATATATCAACTTACGCATATCCGGGAGAACAGAAAAATTGACGGTATAACGTAATGTTTTTTTTTCTTTCTTTCGTTCGTTCGCTATTATTAAAATATCCTGTCGCGATTTACGAAGATGTTTCGGCCCATCACTAAGCGAGAGTGACTTCGATTTCGATTACGATGAACTAGTCGATAACTTTGATGAGCTTGAACTTTCTGATGAAGATTTGGATCTATGTGCAGAGGAGCTGAATTCAATGAATGAAAGTTATATCACAGATGGCGGCTTTACCTCAACCTCTCTAAGAGCGAACTCCAGTCTCAGTCTTTAGAATCTCTTTTACTGAAGAAATTTTAAATCTGAGAACTGATCAAACAAACATTTATGGAAAAGGAAAGAAACGAAGTAACAATCAGCAGAAAACCAGTAACTGGAAGGATGTGAGCAAAAAAGATATTGAATCGTTTCTCGGGTTGATTATTCTAATGGGTATCAATAACTTGCCAAATATGAAACTCTATTGGAGTAAAGATATGATATTCCATAATACATTTATTTCTTCGATCATGTCAAGAAATCGTTTTCTTCAAATTTTTTATAACTTACATTTGGTTGATAGTTCATTGAAACTAAAACGAGAATCTAAAGACTACAGTAAAATTTACAAAGTTAAGCCGCCTCTCCCCCCCGCCCCCCCCCCCACAACAAGTATACTCTAAGCACACNTTTGATATTCCCTTGAATTTTATTATACTTTCGTAGATTGCATCATAGCGGCCAAAGTTATAATTTTTTTGGAAATTTCTCCGTAAAATTCTTAAGGCACCCCCTCAAAAAAGTCAATTTTCGTCAGAACGCTCAAAATTGAGATAAATACATGGGGAGATAGCCCGTCATTTGCTCTTTCATGAATGATAAAAATTTTTCTTCCATACCTTGTTTTTTTCAGAAAATTTTCGAGATTTATGACAACCCCTATTAGAAAAACCAGCGGTTTTTTGAAAAACGAAAACATCTTTGTCGTTTTTTCTCATTTTTCACTTTCTCAAACGCGCATCCAAAATTTATCTTTCGAAGTCCGTTCAATATATTAAATTTTTGTTTGTTTGAAAGAGCATGTAAAGATGCAGGGCATGACGAGACCAGTTTTTCCTATTGGACCTTGTTTTGTTATACAGATAGGTATTTCTATAAATTGACAGTACTTTTTCGATGGTTTTTTCAGTCATCAAATTTTCGATCCCTTTTTTTGCGCTTGAAAAGTGGGTATTTAAAAAATCGGACCATGTCATGGCCTGCATCTTGACATGCTCTTTTAGACAAAAAAAAAAATTTAAATATATTGGACGGGTCAGAACCGAGAAATTTGAGATGCAAAATCATCTATTTTTCACCCTCGTTTGGTCACATCTCGCTTAGAACTCATAATTTCGGGCTGAAAATTTTATCACAGCTTTCCCACTTTAGGCCCAGCATATTCTCCAAATTTCAGGCCATTTGAACATTTCTGGGCCGAGATCGATTTTTGAGGGGGTGCCTTAAGAATTTTACGGAGAAATTTCCAAAAAAATTATAACTTTGGCCGCTATGATGCAATCTACGAAAGTATAATAAAATTCAAGGGAATATCAAACCTCAAGCAATATTTGCCTCTAAAACCAATAAAAAGAGGTTATAAAGTTGGTGCTTATACGATCCGATTCTTGGTTATTTATTTAACTGCCAAATCTACTTAGGAAAAGAGGAAACCAGTGGAAAAGAAACACCTTTGGGCGAATGTGTTGTTTTCGATCTTATATCTGGTCATAATTTTGAAGGAAAACATCTATATTTCGACAACTTTTTCACTTCTCTCAGATTATTAGAAAAGCTAAAGCTACAGAACATAAAAGCCTGTGGAACTATTAGATCAGATCTGGCAGGTATTCAGTCGGAGTTTGCCAAGAAAAATAAAATGGAACGAGGAGATAGCAAGTCAATGATTACATCGAACAGCACTGTCTTCATATGGATGGACATCAAACACATGTTTTTGGCTTCAAATTATCATAAAGACAACGAAGTTATTCCAATTTCACGTCGCTTGAAAAATGATCAACGTATTCAAATTGGCTGTCCGAAAGTAGTAAAAGATTACAATCAGTTTTCACATGGAGTTAACCGACTCAGCCAAAGAATATCCTGCTACAATTTTAATCGCAAGTCTAAAAGGAACTGGCTGCGAATGTTTATTTATTTTCTAAATGCATCTATTGTCAACTATTCATTTGTTATAATCAGTTAGCTCAAGATAAGTTAATATACTTAAACTACATGGTTTCAGTGGTGAAGTCTCTCTGCTTCGGCAGTGAACGAATAAGTCCTGGAAGACCTCCTTCTGAAAACAAGTCTAAACAAGCATCACCAAAAACTATCCTTAATTTTGACAATAAAATGCATTTGTCTGTGAAAGGAAAAAGAAGATGTGCTTATTGTAGCAGCAAAGAAGCAGGTTTTTGATCCAACATCGAGTGCTTTACTTGCAAATTGACATTTTGTTTAAAAGATGAAAAAAATTGCTTTTTTTCATTATCATAACATTTTTATGAAGCGATTGTGAGTTAAAATACAATGAAAAAGTTGAAAAATGTTTTTCTCGATTAAAAAAAACTCGGTTCTCAAAGGACTAATCTGAAGCACAAGTTAAAGATTTCCGGTGCTACTTAATCAATACTCATAGAAATCTAATAAATACTCAGCTACTCACGTATTCGAAGTAATATATTTCAACCAAGAACCGAAAAAAACAAAATTTGTCAACGAATATCCTTTTGATCTCAAACGGTACGGAAGAAATAAGCGTTGTTTTTGAATAAATACCCAAGTACTCATTTATTCTAATTGTTTTATTTTGAGCAAGGGTCATTTCAGGCATTGAAAAAGTCGTTTACCTGCTTGTTATTAGTTATCAAATTCATTTAGAAATGTATGGAAATGTTTAAATAGGTACGATGGTACTTATATAGCGGTAGAGTTTCAATTGATGGTTACAAAAAGAAGTTCAATAGGAAATTTTATTAAAAATCAATTAAGTATTTAAATCATATAATAGCTGTATACATTTTTTGCCAAATAGCTATGATAATGTTGAAATCGCGCTAAATTTTAAATAGTTAGTTACATGAAGTAGTGCTATAAATGAGAAGTTCTTATCAAACAATTAACTATTTAAATCAGTTAGTAACTGTATACTATTCGACAAAGTATCTCTTTTGAGAAGCGACGATTCGTGAGCTTTATCATATTCCTTGGTTCTCTTCTTTTTTCAATAAATCATTGTTCAAGCCATATTATGATGTCTTTTTTCACACACACACATATGCACATCTATAATATGGCGTCATCTTTATTATGAGTGTATATGATACATAGTGCATACCAATCAATTTTTTTCCTCTCCTGTCATTTTTTATCGACACAGTCTGTACCAATATTTACATTCTGAAAAAGTATCCGTCATAGTCTTTGAAGGACATTAACGAGCGAACATTTTTATTTTAAACACACTTATCACAGCACCCTCACCCTCATGCTGTGAGGTGTGTGTGATTTACACCGGTATTCCTTTAGCTCGTGCCCCACCGTTTATTGATAGTATCATTATAGCTGGTGCCCCTTTTGATAGAAAAAATGCTCCATACACTAATTAGTGTGTGGAGCATTTTTTCTATCAAAAGAAGCACCAGCTATAATGATACTATGAATTAACGGTGGAGCACGTGCTAAAGGAATGTCTTTACACCAATCAATGTCAATTGTGTTTAAAGTAAAAATATACCCAGAGACATATCGAAGGAAACAATTTTTACGTCTGTCTCTCTAAGTGAGATAATCAATCGTGAAAACAGCAATCCATCCTATTCAGATCCATCATAAGCTGCTTTTTTTTTCTGTCGTCCTCTACGAAAAACAAACCAGCGCTGCGAGCGTCATCTAAACGGATGAACGGTACCGAATGCATTCTGCATGTGTTCGAATCATGTTTTTGTCCGTTCTTCCGTTTCGAACACGTTTTTTTCTGCTAATCTCGAGTTGGGATGGAATAGATGAAGACGAAAAGAGGTAGTCTTGTTCTTTTCTTTTCGCTTTCCTCGCTTTTTCTGCACGCCGTACATGCGCATATATTTTGTGCCATTGCTGTAACTTTTCTTAGGCGCTCATCCTATTCATATTATTCTGCTCAAGTTAATTCAATAGTCTGTAACAATGTTTTTTTTTCTTTGCATTCCAGTAATGAGTTAATTGTTCGCGACAAAAT